GTATATATGTTGTAATTTATAAATTTATAATATTAAATTTATGATTATTATAGAGCTTTATAAATAAACATATATATTTACAAAGTAATAATATTGTTGTATATTTTTGTAAAACTGTATAGTTTTTTCAAACTCAATTAACAATAATAAAAAAGTAGTTTTAATTCACTCGAATACTTTTCGTGTTCCAAGTATATCTTAATCATAAAAAAAATATAAGAAAATTAAGAGAAAATAATTTTCACATTTTGAAATCCCGATTTCGCGATATTGCAATGATAAAAATTTTCGGAAAATTAGAAGAAAAAAATATTTGTTTAATTAAAACAAACATTTGTAAGAACTTTCTGCTCGCTTATTTTTTTTATTATAAAGACTTCAGTTTTTCCAACAATATTTCAAATAATCAGAGATAAATTTGTACCTGAAATTTAACGATCATTTGATTTAATCATATCGAATCTAGTGGATATAATTACTAGGAAGAGTGAAATAATAAAAACACAAATGCTAGCATAAAAATATGAGTATTTATGTGGTATATTAACAATATACAGAGAGAGAGAGTTTATAAGTACAAACGCCGAGATAGTTCTTACATCTAATCCCACTCTCCAATATACATAGCACGCGGAGGCGGAGGTATTACGCCTCTCGTTGGAATCGGTAACCTTCCGTATATGTGATTATACGGTGATTCGTTCCTGTTATCCGAATCTGAAAGTATAGTAGCAATTATTACTAATAAATGTTGTTATAAAATAAAAGATTAATGTAAACCATTTAATGTAACCATTTCTTCATATAATAATTATTTCTATTTATTTAGGTTTATAAAAAAAGAAATATATATTAATCTAATTTTACATGGTAAAATTAAATTTATGTATACAATCCAATTACTTTTTAAAATAAATGAAAAATGATTAATTTAATCATTTATATCCAATTTTTTAACAATGTCTATTAATTTTTATCTCGCTTTAATTTATTCTTTTTATTTTTTCTAATTTGTAGAATTAGAAAAAGATAGAATGTAAGCTAAACCGAGATTTAAGTTTAAATCTATTTGGTATAAATAAATGAAATTGAATATAAATTAATTACTTGTTTCTCTTACCAAGCCCGCTTTCGAAGCTTCTGGCGTGATACATAATAGGTGGTCGATGGGCTGGTAAATGTCCGTAGATCTGAGAGGATTGACTACTAGCGTAAGCAGCGCCCATGTAAGACGGCGCCGGCTGTGTCCTGGGATGTCCTCGAGGCGGGGGAGGACCCATCTTACTATGACCATTCCTTGCCATTTTGACGAAATTAGGCACACGTGCTCGTAACCCGCAATAATATGGATCATCTGAAAAATATAATATATGAATATATAATGAATATATAATGTACTTAATAAACAAAATATATAATAATTAAAATACAATTAATTTCTTTTGCAAACAATGCACGTAAATGTCTTCTTTTTCTTAAAGAAGAGAATCGTCTTAGATTTTAAATGTAAATTCTAAATATTTTCAATATAAATCATCAGAAAGAGTTTAATGTAATAATATATTAATGCAACTTAATATTTCTAACTTTTTCCAGATATTTTGTAACATTAATTATGTATTGTAAAAAAATATAATAAACTTATATATTATTCCTTACCGTATTTTTTCCTATCGTCATGCTTTCGCTTCTCCTCCATCATGGGATGCTTCATCGCCCTGCCATAGTCGTCTTCTATATCGTCATAGTCAGGCTGAAACAATAAATGCTAATATAGCATTTTGTTTTTTTCAATGCAATAACTTTAACGGTATAATTTTAACACGTCATAACATTTTTTTAACGTTTACTTTAGGGATGCCGTGGCCGTAGAGATTTTCTCTAGGTGGCAATTTCGGCGGTCTCTCTGTGCGTCGATGCTGGTAACTTGTCGATTGCATATAGATTTGCTCCCGCGAGTCTCTGTCCGCTGACATTATTTCACTAGGACCTACGGACGACGACACGCCGGCCACACTGTAAGGATCTTCGTCGGGAATTGGTATTCTCGGTCTATTCTTTATGTCTACCGGCCTTTGTAATGCTAAAACTGAAAAATGGATTGCAAAATAAAATAATAGAAATTATTATTTAGTTATTAAAAGCAAGTATAATAATAAATTTGTATATAAATTCTCTAATTTTTTTAGATAATTATTAATATTTTATTATATTGAAAGTTAGACTTAAAAAAATGTTTATATTATATTTAGACATCGATGTTCATAGAATCATGAAAAATAAAAATATAAAAATCTTATCCTTTAACATTAGAAATACGATTATTCTTAACCATTTCTATTTTTTTTAATTAATATCTTTTTACACGATTTTTTAATTTTCTACCTTTTCATCTAAATCATTCTTAAAATTTATTCATTCTAACAGAATATTAAAATAAAAGTAAAATTCTATTTTTGATATCAAAAAAATACTAACTTCAAAAAATAAAAATAATAAAAAAAAATGACCACTTGATACTTCTAATATTAACTTTGATATGATTATAATCAATATAATAAATTGTATAAATACCGGATGTTTATAAACAATAGAAATTCTGTATTTCATGTAAATCAGGCTATTTTCTTCAGCATACCTGGAGGCAGCTTCGACTTGAGCATGTCCAATCCGACCACGTTGACGATGAGCACCCATACGGGGCACTGAAGCAAATCAGCTTCCGTTCTCACGAATATGATAGCGCTCAGGCATTGCATCTCCAGTCGCCGTCTGTCCGGATAGGCCCTTCGTGTCTCTCGCGATAGATTCGTTTGGAATTTATTCATGTCAAACAACTGCAACGAGAAACGGTAACACGTTCAACGTCGCGCAGCGTTCCACGATATTAAGGAGAAAGTCGGCGGTTGCGTCATCCCATGGCATCAATCGGCTTCTCTCGAAAGAGAGGAATACGTGTCAAACCGTGTTATCGGCAAAGAAGCAAACGAAATGCGAGAATGAGGATTCTTAATCCTTGCGGGAAGGATTGAGAAGGGTGTGCTTTGGTTTGGATCGACACTGGAACTTTTCGCTCTCCTTTCGTACCGAGTGCGCGGCAAGTATAATTTCCTGACGATAAAGAGATTTAAACGCCTCTTATTATACGGTTCGGTTGCTTCAACTTTTTAATTAGAAAGGCGGTGCAGT